TAAATATATTTAAAAATTAAAAAAATTAATTTTATAAAAATAATACATATATATATACATATTTAAATATAAATAATTTTAACAATTACATATTAAAAAATTATTTTTACATAATAAAATATTTATATTTAATTTTTATTAATTATAAAATTTAATTTTTTTATAATATAACTTTTAACCTTTCATTTTTTACTAAATTTTTTAATAATTTATTTTTCTTTTTATTTTACACAAAAAAAAATTTACAATCATTTATTTTAATAATATATTTTTTATATTTTTAATATATTAATTTATATCATTTATTTATATATATTTTTTATTAAAAATAAAAATTAAAATAAATTTTTAATTTTTAATTTTTAATTTTTACTTTTTCATTTTATAATTTTAAATATATTTTAATATAAAATAATTTTATATATTACGGCTATAACATACGTTACAATATTTTTTAACAATTTATTAAATAATATTATAATTTAATACTTAAATTAAAACTTTTATTTTTTTATATATATAAATAAAACTTTATTATAATAATTTAATATTTTAAAGTTTTTAAAACATTATTTTTTAATAATAATACCTTTTAATTTTAACTTTATAATATTATATATTATTTATTTAATACATTTTTTATTACCCGTTTAATATTATTTATTATATATATATATATATATATATATTAATAATATTATAAAAATATATATAATATTTATATTATTTTTACATTTTATTTTAATTTATTAAATTTAATATATTTTATATTTTTATTTATTATTATTTTATTAAAAATTATTTAATTATTATATTAAAATATTATTACGTAAAAATAAATACGTAATAATATATTATTAATTTATATATAAAAAAACTTTTTTTAAATAATATTTATATATATAATTTATTATTATTTTAATAATAATTATAATAATAATTTTATTTTATATTTTATTTTATATTTTATTTTATATTTTATATAAACATATTAATTAATTATATCATTACGTAAAAATAATCACGTAATAACACGTAATTAATTTTTACACAAAAAGCAATTTTTTTTAAATAAAACTTATATATATAATTTATTAATTTTTACATTAATTAATATAATAATAATTATTGTAATAATTTTATTTTATATTATATTTTTTTTCTTTTTTTATTTATTACGTTATTTTTTTTTATTACTTAATCTATATAAATACTTTATTATATTTACATTTTATTTTATATTTTATTTTATTTTTATTTTTTTAAATATATTTTTAAATAATTATTTTTAATAATTTATTAATTTTAAATATTAAAATAATAATAAAGTTATTATATATTACGTAATATTAAACGTAAAAAATAATAAAATAATTTAAAAATAATTAATTTAATTAATTATATTAAATTAAATAAAAAAAACAAAAAATTTATTAAATAAAAAAATATTTATATATATAAATTTAATTTTAATTATATAACATAATCACATAACCGATATTTTAACATTAAATTAAAATTTTTTAAATTATTTATTTTTATTTATTTTTATTTATTTTTATTTATTTTTATTTATTTTTATTTATTTTTATTTATTTTTATTTATTTTTATTTATTTTTATTAAAAAAACCGTTCCGTTTTTTTTTTAAACAATAATAATATATAACAATTTTATAACATTTGTAAACTCGGATTATTGTGGCGCACCGCAGGGGTGCCCTCATGTTTAAAAGATTAAAGATAAGACCACATAGGGAAACCAGTTTGGGTATAGCGTATACCTATTGTATGTACATAAGGGCACCCCTGCGGGGCACCACAATAGCCCGAGTTTACGAATCACGTGCCGCTACTGCCGGGGAAAAGCGCTCGGCGCGCTTCGCGCGCCGAGCGCTTTTCCCTAACAACAACGGCGGACAACCTCGAACATTAAGCTTTATTAAAATTCTTTTAAAAAATGAAAGATAAAAAGATAAAAAAAAATAAAAAAAGGAGTATATGGGATTTAAACCTAAGCTTTTGTAAAACTTAAATTATTTGGGTATATAATGCGTGGTTACGTAATTAATGTAAGTTACGGCAAAAAAAAAAATACGTATTTCGAAAAAAAGATAAAAGTGGGGATCTGGAAAAGCACGTGAGAATTCGAGGATGCACCCAATAAAAACGCCCCAGAGATGCGCACGGACGAACTTCTTATTTCGCAAAATGGCCAGGCCAAAAGATCGTCTGACAATATCCCTCGTAAACTCGGGCATGAGCCAGACAATATCCCTCGTAAACTCGGGCATAGGTAGGTACCTAAACTTGACATAGAATGAACTGAAGTTAGGTAGGTGGGAGGTAAATACCTAGTTTAAAATACCTATGATTGATGAAGGTGCCGACAAACATTGCACTGTGAAGCCGAATTAAACATAAGGTTTTCGGCCCGCTAGCTTGGACCCACACCCGCTACCTAATACAACGCCACACCTTCAATTCAATAGGTACCTAAGTACCAAGTACCCATGTAACGCATATAGTTCCAGTCTTATACAACCATATCTCTTCTCATGCCGCCGAGCACAACGACATCACATATATGGCCGAATGAATTCAATAAAAGACAATCTACGAGCCAGGGAGACCAGTGAGCCCTAGGAAGAAGGATCAGCATCTGTCTTATATGAAAATAGGGAGACCACTTACAGTCGTCACCAATATCTTCCTGAACACTTTGTGACTTGACGCAGTCTATGGCAGCCTGGTCTGTTTGCCTCTGCAGCGGCGAACAGCGGTCGCCGGAGCACTTTCCGTCCATAGCCCTCTGGAGCGCGTCGCCTTTCCAGCCGAACAGATAATCGCCGTGCAGGCCATATCCTGTGGTGTCGTTCATGCTCCATACAAAAGGCTGAGAGCCATCCGCAGGCCACTCGGCCTTGTTGTTGAAAGCACGCGTGTCGAACATGATCTCATACATGATCTGCGGGATCTTGACCGGGTGAGTTGAAGGACAAGCACCGCCGCTCTCAAACGTTCCCGAAGCAGGGTACGCTATGTGGGACTTGTGGTCAGGCGAGTCTAAGTTCTTGCCGTCCCAGCATGATGGGAAATGCACAGATACTCGCCACCCTCCACCGCATGCCTCCTTGGGGAACGCTTGCGTGTCTGAACCCGTACAAGGAGCCCTATAATCAGTTAGCATATATATTACCTAGGTAGGTAGATAGCTAACTTACCCCCCGAACGGATTTTGTTCAAGATTAGCCTCACATCGGTAGCAGAGGCCCTTCTGCATCGTGCTGGCTTGTCTGTTCATCGGGTCACCGACTAGCATTCGGAAGCCCTGACCAAAATAAGCAAAAAAAAAATTCAGAACTTTCAGAACCCACTTACCGGCGGGAATGCAGTCACTTTAGCATCCGGCTGATAACCACGGATGTAATAGATAGTCATGCCGGCCTCGACACCAAGTCCTAGGTTAGCGAACTGCGGTACTCTTTTATAGGTGCCGTTGCGAGCCCGGAAATATAGGTTGGCCGTCCAATAGTTGGAAAAGTCTTCGGAATAGGTACAACTGGTACAAGTGGAGACCGTAGGCGGGTCGTGGTCGTTAGGTTTCATGGAAGCGTTAAGAGAATTTCCGCCGATGATCTGGTGCATGTGTGCCGAGGGCATATTACCCGGCTCTACCAGCGGGTCGATTCTGTCGATAGTAAGCTGGGAGCATCCGAAGCGCATAAGCTCCTGCGCAGCAGCCATGTGGACGGCTGCCGCCGCGGGCAGAAGAGATTTCAGCAGCATCTTGGATTAGAATATGAAAAATTGCTTAGAGAAAGCAAAAAGATCAAAATAGCCAGCCGGTGGAAGCGAGCAGGCCTTCATGCTTTTATTCTTCGCCCAGACGGCGTAATTCGTGGTTCTCCGGGTAAAGCCAAGGCGGACGGAGTGGTAGGGCTCCGTAGTTATTGGTTAGGTGGTTATGGCGATGCAACTGCCGCTCGACGAAGCCTTGCCGGTTAATATAACCCTAGAGTCTGGGGGACAGGGCCGGGCAGCAAATCTGATGGGAAGCTCAAATTACCTGTGGCGGACGTATTCCTATTCCGACATATTAAGCGGGGGGCAAAAGACTCGGTAGTGTTCCAGCAACCGAATCAAGCCCTTGTCTAAGCAGTCCAACGTCATTGAACTCTAGCTCAGCATCGCGCTGGATCCCTTCTAGATAGGACGGAGCAGGCTTCCTTAGCACATACGGGCGTGGACGCATCTCAGCATATGCCGAGACCCCCTTTCCAAATTTATTTATATCATCCTAGCAAAACTAGAAGCCTAACCATCTGCCTGAACATTCTCTGGGCGACGGTATCAAGAGAGGCGAATCGCGCACGTGTAGGCACATATGAGATTTAATATACTACAGGGCCTATAAGCGATTATAAATCTACTAGATCAGGAAAGTTTGCCCACTCACTCGGATGGATAGTATATACATTTTTGTCACTCTTCCTCCTCCCTTACTCCTATACCCCCAAATTGGCCAAGAGTACTGACACCGCCTCATATAGCATGACAAATTCTTGTGGCGAATAGGAGGTGCTCTAGCCGCTAGAATTATTGAGATGTTGCAATCTTAGGGCTAGTCTAATATCGAGCGTATGACGAAAGTGCCGTGATAAGTATCGATTTTCAGAGGTGTACGGAATAAAAAGCTGCAAGGCAACAAAAATCCTAGGACTTCATCCTTCGTCGTTTCTACTCGGCAGCGTTTCAAAATCACTACACCTATATTCCTCGCTGCAATATAACCAGAATTTCTCGTTGGTTTGTAAGAGTTTACAGCGCAGATAAGCATCTTGAACGCTGGTTTTGGCAATGTAATTCCGACCTGACATACTTGATAATAATTTACCTACCTAAATACCTAGGCAAGGAATAAAAGAATACATAGGTGTTATTCAAAATATCCACGAATTAATGCCACGCCTTGAGACACGAAGAGAACAAACTAAAACCGTACAAAGCAAATACAAGTATTAAACAGCAACGGGACTACCCTACTAAAATATACGGTTTATCCTTCAAGCCACCGGTGTTATGCTACTAGCACATACCGTCTATACATACTTCTCTAACCGGCACTCCTCACTCCAAATCTAACTCTAGCCACGCTACCAGATCTGTGGTAGATTATAGCTTAAGCTCAGGATACTCTGGCAGCCGCCATACATAATCCCCCTCCGGCTTTGGCCGGTAAGTTAGAGGCTCGATCTTAGACACCGCCCACATTACGTTTTGCAAGATCCAAATGCCCAACTTGGAAGACGGGAAAAAAGTACCCATGAGCTCTGTGGGAAGCTTCTGTATCTCGTCAATCCCGGGCCGTACCACCCTATCGTACGCTTTCAAAGCGCTGGGGACGTCGTTGTTGTGTCGTGCCAATTCCCCCGCGAGGACATAAGCGCCGATGAGACACCCTGTTGTCCCCATCCCCGTGAACGGAGTAGGGCAATAGCCCGCGTCTCCGAGTAGCGCAACTCGACCCTTGTACAGCTGCTTCATTTTGATTTGAGCTAGCTCGTGCGCCCAAAAGTCTGTCGTCGTCTTCATGCCGTTTAGCAAGCGATCGGTCTGCCAACCGGCACCTTTGAAGGTCTCCGTAAAAGCTTCCTTCTGCTTCTCGACTGATTCTTTGTACGACTTTCTCAGATTATCTGAATCCGCCATGGTGAAGAGTAGGACCTGCGTCACCGGTCTGCCGCTCGTTCTGGTAAATAGCATTCTTCTCCCCGGTGCGTTATAAACCCTTGCAAGTGTACCTTCGTCTTCGCTACGTGGGATGCTGTAGTAGGCGGCGTGGACTCCGATAGACTTGAAGGCTTCATCGTTAGCTTCCTGACCAAAAGCCATGCGCCTGGTACGCGATGCTTGACCATCTGCCGCTATCACCAGGTCGTAATTCTGCTTCTGTCCGTTAGAAAAGGTAACGTCTACCCCATTATCGGTCTGTGTGAGTTCTGTAACTTCTTGACCGAATTCATATGTCAGGCCCCCCTTTCCCCCGAGCTGCTTCGCTTGTTCATTCTGCTTGATACTCGCGTCGTATAGCACTCTAACCATGTCACCACGCATGATCTCAAACTCGGATGTCAAAGTGCGACGGCTTTGGCCAGTAGGGTTGATGCCTACAAGCGCTTTCCGTCGTCCGCTCGAATCAATGACCTCAAGACCGGTTTCGTCAACACACGCTTTTTTGATTGCATCGAAGATCCCCATCTTCTTTAGGACATCGACACCTTGGTTCTTGATATCAATTTGCTGACCTGCCACACGTAGCGAGGGAAAACGCTCTATGACGGTGACCTTGTGATTGGGATCGGATTTTTGTAGAAATATTGCAAGGGCCGGACCAGCAACACCGGCACCTATAATCAAGACGTTCAAAGGCATCCCGACTGATGAATGCAGTGGTTTGTTATTGCTGGAACTATGCTGGGAACCTTTCGTGGCGATGAATCGAACAGTTGATCGCGGATGGTACCAGCTAAGGCGTCGACTTAATATGAGGATGTCTCTAGTTGTTTTGAAGGTTTTCAGTGTGGATAGATTTGGGAGAAGACGCTCCATACTATGTTGTGTTGATGGTTGACTGAAGTGTAGCTCTCTTCTTGCGAGCTGCTGGAGTTGCTAGACTCAGATCGCAGGACAAAGATAAATTCCGTTGCTTAAGATAATGAATCTGGTTACAATACCAACGAAACTCAGTACGGTATAGACAAGGCCAATGATTATATATCGAATAAAACAGCATATCACCGAAGGAGATTTACTTGGTCGCCCACAGTCTATTACCTCCGCCATTCCCGCTTACGCCCGCTTAGGGCCGTCTCTCGCACCTAAGCACAGTAACGCGTCTCCTAACTCGGGTTGAACTTTTCGCTCTCGGTATATTTTCTAGTGCGTTCTAGTGTATATTCTAGATATTTTACTTTCGAGAAGGATTTGTTATAGGTTGTCGGACATAATATCGACGGTGCAAGGTCTACGGACGAATTCGCACTTATCAACGAAGAAATCCGACCCATATTTTTGCTCCTTAATGTTCCGCAAAGAACATTGTCTTATTCCTGGCTGGCTGAGATACCTGTATGAGATTAAGCGGAAAGCGAAATACCAAGTGACAGTGAAGAACCAGGCGATATAGGATTATTTACTGTTCTTCTAGTTACGTCTATTAATATGTAGTTACATTTCCTATTACGCGCCTTGAGTACATGTTGGCTTGAGCTAAGCGTTGCAAATAATCATCTTCTACTTCAATAGATTCGTGGGCCAATACTCGCCATGAGCAACTTGAAGAGCACTCTGGCTACGACCCAAAATGTACTCATGAGGCTCACGTTTATTTTCCTTGCATTAGATCCCTGACCTAGTAAGCTTTATTCTAGCTTTAGCTATCATTTCTATATCTGGGATTAGTTAAACCGCCTTATTATATCACTACCCACCTGTCTTAGCTATGATAATAGTTAGGGATGCTTGCCTCTTGTATAAATAACTTCACAAAGACATATACCATATTTTTACTCCAAGTAAATTCGCACAAGCTATACTACCCGTTTCAATGTCTCAAACTTGCAGTGATGGTATATTTAAGGCTATCTGTCCAATTGGTGGCAATTTCCAACTCTACATGCGGTTCCTCTTGCTCAATCGTGAATCGTGTGCTTTATAAATTCACCAATTCACCCCTTCATACGCCACCACGCCCGCATCGCCATGCATAATGGAAAGGATAAAGAATTAAGGCTCACACGGAAGGGATGGTAATTAGACCGGTGTGGAGATAGGGCATTGGTGGAATGCTGTAAATCTTTAGCATTCCAGTATCCACGCACGCCTGCCAGTTGATATCCCATAAATATCTCCCAAAGTCCCACAGATGCTGTCCCAAGTCACCGGCCAAACATGTCGAGAATGCCTTGAGCCTCTGTCTTTGCCATGCACTGGATACCTAGCTGGCGGTGTTGGGTGCCCTGGAAGAGCTTCCGCAGGCCCTGTGCAACCTTCCAGCCCTCATCTTCGTCAACAATAAACAAGTGCCTCCTCCCGTCCTGATCTCGGATTGTAGCGCGCAGGACATGCAGACCTCGTCGTCGCGAACTACTAATATTTGACGACGCATCATCCCATCTTCCGTGAGGTGCGTGGCGGCACACGTCCCCGCAAGAATGTAGTAGCTCGTCAACACAGGCTTCGGCATCCTCACCTGTCAGGGTTTTCGGGTCGCCACGAATTGATGATCGGAAACGGCTCTTAGGAGTCACTTTGGGGGTGACGTTAGACTCGACAACGCAATGTGCCGGGCACCATATCTCCATCGTTTTGAGCGTCCAGGCCTTGACGTCCCAATCTCGCTGCGGCTCGTTGCGGACATCGTCGTCGATGAAGATACCGGCAGACGAGATGCGAAGGATCAAACCGTCCGTGACAGGTGCCATACCACTAATGAGTTGAGAAGCTGGTGTCTTGGAGAATTGGTTGACGAAGCTATAAACAGCCTTGATGACGATTTTGTCTGGGTCGTTGGTCCGATAAGGCGGGTGTTCGGAAGGTGGCGGCGTTGTCCTTGCTGTTGACTGGGATGGAGCATACGATGACTCTGTGAAGGTTGTCTCGCCCGACCTCCTTCGAGTATGGTTCTTAGGCTGATCGTATGGTCGAAACGAGTAAGTTTCTTCGTTAACGCCGCTCGAAGTCTTGGTTGTGCTAGGGGCTGGATTCGGTTGCTTGCTAGAGGCAGCACTAGGCTTACTAGACGTAGTACTCGGGCTCGGCCTAGGGGGGCTTGATCTAGCAGGAGATGGAGGCCTAACCGGCGGTTTTCCGTTCGGCCAAGGGTTTGTTTTCTCCCCGACCGACGAGTAGGCGTAGGCGCCTCTCCTACTTTCGGCTTCCCTTAACCTAGCAGCATCAACTTCCCTGATCCTAGCTTCTTCTGCCTCTCTTAACCTAGCAGCTTCCTCCCTCTGTCGAGCCGCCTCCAATTCCCTTTGCCTCTCAACCTCTCTTTGCCTCTCGGCTTCTCGCTGCCTTTCGGCTTCTCTTTCCCTGGCAGCCTCTTCTTCCATTCGCTTGGCGGCCTCAGCTTCTCTCAGCTTAGCAGCAGCTTCGGCTTCTCTCTGCACGGCAGCTTCTGCTTCTTTCAGCTTTGCTCTCAACGTCGCGGCCTCTTCCTCTCTCAGCCGAGCTGCCTCTGCTATAGCCTTCAGCCTAGCTGCTTCGATTGCCTCCTTGATCCGGATTGCCTCCTTTTCCTTGACTTCCCTCTCAAGCTTTTCTCGGAGCGCCCTCTCTTGGTTCAATCGTTCATGCAGTATACGTTCCCTAGCTTCCCGTATTCTGGCTTCTCTCTGTTCCTTTTCCCGTCGCTCTTTCTCCTGTTGCTCCCTTTCGCGCTGCTCCCTTTCTCGCTCTTCCTTTTCGCGGGCCTCACGTTCCTGATTCTCCTTCGCTTCTTGTTGGCGTCTGGCCTTCTCTCGAGCATCCTTCTCGCGTAGCTCTTTTAGTCGTCTGGCCAGCTCCTCCTTCTTGCGCCTTTCAGCCTCCTTCGCTTTTAATTCCTCTTCCCTGGCTTTTCGTTCTTCCTCTTTTCGCCGTGTCTCTTCTCTAGCTTTTTCCCATGCGCCTTTGGGTGGATCTCTGGGGGTCTCTTTAGGGGTCTCCTTAGGAAGCTCCTTGGGAAGCTCCTTGGGAAGCTCCTTGGGAAGCTCCTTGGGAAGCTCCTTGGGAAGCTCCTTGGGAAGCTCCTTGGGGGGCTCTTTAGGGGGCTCTTTAGGGGGCTCTATGGGGATTTCTGGAGGAGTCTCCTTGGGCTTTCTAGATGGCTTCTTGGGAGATTCCTTATGTTCCTTATGAACCTCCTTATGAACCTCCTTAGGCAGTTCCTTAGGCAGTTCCTTGGGGGCCTCTTGAGGAACCTCTCTAGGAGCTTCCCTGGGTTTTGACCTAGGCTTTGGCTTGGGAGGCTCCTGTGGGGGCTCTTTCGCAGGTTCTGGAGATGGCTCCCGGGGCGGTTCGCGGCGGGGTTCCCGAGGTGGCTCAGGTCGCTGCTCTGATTTTGGTTGTCGTTTCGGCTCACGTCTTGGTTCTCGCTTCGGCTCTCGCTTCGGTTCCCGCGGCGGTTCTCGAGGTTGCTCTCGAGGTGGTTCTCGAGGTGGTTCTCGCGATGGTTCCTGCGGCGGTCGACGTCGAGGCTCTGGTGGCGGTTCTGGTGATGCGTCCTTCGGTTCGTTGGCTTGCGCATGCTGTTGCCACGATTGCTTGGGCCGCTCTGTACCTGGAGTCCCAGGTGCGGGCCCATGCCGAGGAGGCGGCGGTGGCGAGGCATGAGGCGGAGGAGGCGGAGGCGTATCATCATTGGGGGGTGGTCCAGCGTTGGGATTTGGGCCACTAGAATAGCCTCCAGCTCCGGGATCGTACCCCCAAGAATTCCCATTGCCTCTCCCCGACGCCGAGCCACCACCTTGTTGCGTTCTCCCCAGAGACCATGCCCCGACTCCGACTGCGATCACCAATAACACCATGCCCATATTTCCCATTCCTTGGAAGCTGCTCCACCACACCTGATAAACCGGTGCCATGGTCTGGCCTAGGACGACTAGGACCAGAGCGCTAGCAAATCCCGCGGCGAAGCTGTTCAGGTTCGGCTTCAGAGAAGGGAGATAGAGGAAACCAGATCCCGAGGAGTGCGGCGGTATGATGAATATGTCATATTTGCCCGGGGGTAAGTTGGGATTCGCCGGCCGGGGAATATTGCCATGCGGCGGCGGAGGCGGAGGTTGATCCATCGCGACGGTCTAGCCGCCAAGCGGTGAACCTGTCGAAATGGCGACCAAAAGGGAGAGGCTAGATGTTGAATGCAATTGAGAAAACGGAGGACTTGCGATTATAAAGAATACGGTGGTGAAAAGTGAGGGTATCTCGGAAAGGCCATGAAGGATCGTAACGTCGTAAAAGGTGCTGTCGCTATTACAAATTAGATTATTATTATTACCATCGCGTTGATAGGGATGGGGGTGGATGAAGAAGGACAGGTATCAAAAGTATGGGATAGAAAGTTGGAAGATAGGAAGAGAAGAAAAAATCTGCCAAGTTCCAAGAGTCATCTAAGACGAACAGGGGGCAGATCATGACGAAAATAACGTACCGCAGACAGAAGAGAAAAGAAGGTAAAAGTCAAACAGCGCAATGCCCGAATTCCATGCGGACAGATGAAGCAGCAAACAACAACAGCAGAAAACACTTTTGTGTATTCGGTATTCGACGGATCGTAAATCAATTGCTCGAATGCAAAGATAAAAGGCTAGGTATCCAGGGTATTTTATTACGTATGTAGGTAATGTAGGTAATGTAGGATATCATCAAAAAAGAGGAGTCGGACAAAGTGGCGGTCATGAAATTTCATGAAGTCTTTGTGCAAGTCCTTTTTCTTTCAAATTTGGCACTAACTCCTGCCAATGTTTACTTATGAATTGTTGATGCAGAGCTGCTAATCGACCCAGTTTGACAGGTCACAACTTTGTGAAATAGTTGCATTACGCTAAAGATACACTAGCCAATGAGATTCAGAGGCTCATAGAGAAAGGTCTGAGCGCAGCGTAATTGTTTCTTTTATAGGCATAGCGCAAGTTCACAACAGGTATAACTCTATATTTTCTAATTAAGCGTCCCCCCGCACATGCACAACTCGACATCTCTCTCATCCTTGTCTGCCTTTTGTGCTGCCGTGTAAGGCATTAAAATATTTATTTTCTGTTGCAATTCACTTCTCATATTCAACTCGTATGTATTTTTTCTAGAATTCGAAGTCGAAGTCGAAGTCGAGCATAAGTATATAATAAACTTAGGTACTTGGATATATCTTTTGCTACCTTGGCTGCGCTGTTGCGCAACAGTCAACCACCCACCTCTTGAAAATAAATCGACGTTGAAACGGCGCTCCGAAACATCGCTTCTAGATGCTGTCAATTGGCTCGCGTTGCACGATAACGGTCAACAAACGCGCCAGGTCAAATTTCAAGAGAGTCTCCACTCCCACCATCAATATAGTATGTGCTATAACAAATCACGGGCGGACAGGCGGATTGGCGGATTGGGCATCTCGCTTGCAAATGTACCCCTAAACCGACCATCACCGGGGAGCTCCCCCGCTTCCGTGTTTGCGGTTGTCTGTCACATTCGATGAATGACATTGTTTATTACTCTCACCGAGTCAAGTGCTATTATCACAATACGATCTTCTACTAAGAGCTAGGATGTTAATTGCTACAAGTTCTTAAATATCAAGTAGGTAAGTTGTCATTTATCAATACCCAAGCAGCCAGTAATTTCCAATATGTAATAAAGGTGGTTTCAATAGTATAAATATTTTCTGTATTGTACCATGGTAGTAAGTTGGTAGACAAGACAATCCTTTGACTGCTTACGGCTACAAGCTACGGCAGCTACAAGCTGGTTGCTAGGCAACACCTTGATAATTGGTAACTTTGCGCTGTTGTCGGTGCGGGGTCACCGAGTTGGCAAGTTGCCTCTCAGCCTCTCAGAGCGCACCATATCTACTAATTATCATCTCATTTATCTAGAACAAGTTATTTTCCCTTTAAAGGGGTTTCTTAAGGTTGTTTGCGTGATTTTATATGATTGCGATTAGAGTCTTACTGCATAATTGAAAAGTTCATATCTTCCACTGGGCCCGTGAATTGCGGCTGGTATCTAACGTGTCTTCCATAACGTTTCATTCTCGGGATCTTGCATCACAGGTGGACGCCATAGACCCCAAGTCGCAGCCTGCATAAAGGGACGGACCGCAATAGCCTTATCAGGCCAATCTGAGATCAAACATGTGAAACTCCAATAGGTACCTATCTAAGCTAGGTAGGTAGGTACATAAAGAAATCTTGGCTTTGGTAGTGAGCAGACCAAGTTGTGGGATTTATACCATCCTAACAAAACATTTAACTACCGTCCAAGCATTGTCTACTAGTAAAATTATTACCTATATATTAATAGTAAAACTCGAGTTCAGCAATAGCCTTGAACCAAAATTAACTAAGATACAAAATACCATAACTAGTTATTACTAAGACCATTCTTTTGTTAGTCCTATCATGATAAAGTAATACTCCCACCATCTTTAGCTATCCAAGTGCCCAAGGTGTTTGATACCAGGTAAATAAAATGCTCAGTATCGATACCTACCTCCTCATTCTTAATAAATTCCGGTAACGCTATATATTCTCTTTTAGACAAATTGAGCCAAAGCCCCTATACGAAATAGTGGTAAACTTTAAGAGTCACCTTGCGTCGAAGTATTAGCTAAGTGTTTCCTTAACATCAATAGAACTATTAGATCCCCAATTTCTTTCCAACACTTACAGGTCCATCTTTACAGGAGTTTACGAAATAAAGCTTAGTGAAAATCCAGCATATACTCTTACGTGGTTAACCTAACTTTAACAAGATATTAAGTAAGGGTATAGTTAAATAAGCGTGTTAGATTAGCATTGGTCCCATAGAAGCATCATGAGGCTCGCTACGACTACTTTAACATCATGTGAGGTATATTTACAATTTCCCATCGAGAAGACTGGGTATAGCCAGGTCAATGCTTCATTTTACAAACACCTCTCGGGATCCGGAGTACAAACATGACTACCTACACATTCTAATTGTCTTAAGATAATTATACGTAAATTAATTTCACGAATCCCTAGAAGAATGAGGATAGGCTCAAGAGGTCTACAGGGCAGACTCTTAAAACTACGTACGATTTGTCACTGGTCTCATCAAATATACTATCAGGAGATAATTGAGATATCGGGTACCTTCAGTCCTTAGAGTAACTGCTAGATTCTACATAATGAGGGGAATCCTCATTTATCCTTATAAGGAACATGGGTTAAAAGAGTTGCTGTCACACCTATATACCAGAAGTTAGGCCCTTGTCTCTCACTATATGCAGATTCGCGTTCTCCGATGCACTATTGCGCAATTGGCTATGTTTAACATTAAAAATAACTATGCTCTCGATGTTACTTGCAACCTTGATTCCCCTTAATCATTTCAGGTTATTTAATACCTAGGAAGGTGGCATTCGTCACCCGTTTGGATCTTGAATGCTCCTTTTAAGCTCAACCTTTATATAAAATAGTTTCAAACTGTGAGTTGGTGTGTTGTATATGCTATCTGGTGGACAAGGTCTTTGGTAGTGTTTTTGGAGCCTTTAAATTACTTTAAAAAGTATTAAATCAACATTATATTATTTATGTTAAAGCAGTCAACTGCTGAGGCAACGCTTGGAAGCTCAATTTTTGTCAGGATTCTAGATGAGAAATCTAGAACAAAGGATGCTTTCGGTAAGTATAGCCGTAGGCTCCTATACTTAGCTTAGAGTTCTTCGCGGAACAACAAAGTTGTTTCCTTGCTTCTTGCTCCACCTCATGACAATCTGGGCTCGAGGACACCAAAGGGTAAGGGTTTAAGACAAGCCTATAAGCAGGATTAGTATCTATTGCTAGTAAAGTTCGCTGGATTATAAAGAGGAAAAAGTTCATACAACTTTCAAGGCCCATCGGCTTATTGTTTAGAATATACGTGGTATCTAGCTTTGGAGCAACATCATCATCGCACCTACAACAGTCGTAGACTTTATCGGCTTATGACTTAAGGGTCTACCATTACTAACGCTTTAGTATAGAACACATCGGATCAGTGATAGGTAATAGTGTTGACCGTGACCAGCTCGTGGTCTAGATTTTTTTTCTCCTGGAGCTAACGCTAGTCAGGTAGTTACTAATATAATACGGCTTTGAATGGGTTATGCTTAAATTTCTTTGACGATTCAAGCTAATTGCCCCCTTAGCTAGAAGAATAAATCACCACCGCTGTAGTCAGTACGTTACGCAAGTTTCGGTGTTTCTCATTAATATACTAAGAAAGGGTCTTGTAGAAGTGACACAGATTAGCCTCCCGCAATTAGAGCAGAGTAGACAGGCGTATAGCGTATTAGCAATCCAATAGGTTGTACTTTGGGTATGGTGAATGACTATGCAAGTATGTGACTATTTATTACTTGCCTGAAATGACAGTTAAAATATAAGACTTTCAACTTCTAACTTGACTCCTATTATCTATAAGTCTTAAGACTAAGGCTAAAATTTACTTCTTATTAAAAGAGGTATGCGTACTAGACTGTCTTTTTGGACTACCTATTTCTCGACACGGGGCTACGCAAAATAGGGCAGGAAATCTCAAATGCCGCAAGAAAAACTCGACGAAAGGATTTTTGGCTTGCTATACAATAATATGAATCATCTCTGGCCGAATTCGCTCGATAATTATATAAGTCTTTCTCTAGTTCAAAACCTCGGATGTTCGGCATATGCTCCTTGCTGATTTAGTCATTTAGTTTGCTCATATTTTAGCAATTGTCAAAATTTTAGTTAGATCTTACTAGTAGACGACTGGAGATAGTGCGGGAACCGGCGCTAGGAGTTGAACGCAATTTCGAATATCCAATTCTAGTTTTAAACCCGACGCTAATAAGTCTCCGCAAGTATGTCGTATTAATTAGTTTATCACGCCTTTGTAACCGTATGTTGGTGGTCGAATGCGTGAGTGTTCTTCGAATTATCTAGATGGATGGCTGGTATACATCATCTGAACAGTAGGTGAGACTACTAAAATAGTACAAATCACCTCATAAGCAACCATCCCTTTTCTAACAGAAATCTCGTGATTATCTCAGCAAAAATTGGTTTGGTCTCGATGTAGTCACAGATCTCGGGTG